GGAAGGGAATCAAGAAGCTCGAACTGAAGTGGCATAGTAACACGTTTTCAAATTGAAATTTGTGTACATAATGTTGTATAACAATTTAATAGTTATTATAAAATTGTATCAAGTAGACCATCTAGTGTAAAAATAAATTTATTTCACGTTATAATAATAGTATGTACAAGATCTATTTTAATTGTAAATTTATGAATTAAATTTATTTTTATAAATTGTATCATAAATGAGCACCATTAAAAGTCTATTTTTTTAGCTTCAGAATAACAGACAAACAAAGAAGAATAAATAAGATAAGAAGAAGTAAAACGGAATTGTGGATTGAATAATTTAATCATAAGAAAAGTTCTCATCTGTATGCAATAAAATGCACATTTAAAAAATTAATTTTTTTTTCATGCGTATTTAGATTCTATTTCCAAGTTTTCAATTACAAAATCAAAACAATAAAGTAACATAAATGATTTGAGTATCAAAATCGCGAAAATAATAGTATAATAAGTTAATAATAATAAGTAATAATAAATAATAATAATAAGTTTGCCACATAAGCAAGGATAGGAAAGGGGCTCAACGTTCCCTTAGTCCAAAATGATGCGATAACGACTGCGTTGTGATTCGTATAAAATTTCACATAAAATCATGTCGAGTTACTGCCAGTGTAATGACACGCTTGACAGAAAGTTCAATGCCATTACACAGCAACGCTACGACCTCCGGGCATATCGTTGCTTCCCGGTGAAAGGCATTCACTGCAGTTTCTTCACGAGCGCATGAGACGTGTAGGCGTACCGTGTGATATGATGATCTAACGATAAGTGAAAGCAAAACTAATATATTACGGCGATATCATCAATAACATGATTTTATAACGTGATTACGCACTCTCTTTTTGACAAAATCAAAATAAATCTATAATGAATCTCCGTCGCATAAAATCTAACTGTTATTATCGTCTTCCTATTTTTAACATTGTTACATTGTTTCAAGATTAATACTTTTAATGTGGCTTACATCCAGTACGGTGTATCCTGTTACTCGCTAAAAAGCGAAGTTGCGTTAACAAAAGGCAGCTTTTAAAAAACATTATATTTAATTCTGCGCTAGTGAAAGGGTTAAATAAACGGCGACGTAAAGGCTTACGTAAACATAGGGTATAATGCGCGACCAACACAGAATGAAAAAGATTTCGTAACACGGCTGCTACATCTCGAATTAATACGTGCCCGAGGGTTAATGTTAACTGGCTGAAAATATTTGTATCCGTTTCTAGTAATGCCGTGATAATAGGAAGATTGATAATTGTCTTAATTGTGTATGAATGTGGAGAGAAACAGTTTTAGAATTCTCCATTGAAATCGTGTTCTCCTGACACATCCTTGAATAACGTATTCTGAATAAAATATCACAGAGATCTGCGCTTTAAGGGAAGTTCCGCGATGTAAATGTGATTATATGTCCATCACCGCGGCTATGCCGCTCGCTTATTGATCTATTAGTTTCGCAATAGTTTATATAACGCGTGTTACAAGATCTACACAAACGTACATCTCCATGGGCGATATTTGGGCATGAATTCTTCAAAAATTCTTCATACACATAAAATATTTTTTTCAAGCGATTTTTTAATAAAATAATCATAAAATCATGAAATTTATTTCCCCTCTAACTTCTCTTTATAATATTTCAAAATATCCAAAAATATTTATATTTTTGTTATAACTAAATATTTAAATAAATATAATATTTAAATATTTAATAAATCAAATAAATAAATATATTAAGGGAATGAAGGGACAAATGTAAATAGAGCAACAGGTGACGTTCCATGTTTCAAACTTGTTAGTACTGAAGAATTAATAACTTCGATAGCCTATGAGTTTAATGGAATGCTGGTCAGTATCACCGATAAAACGCAGTAATTTTTATATTGCTCTCATTTTTTATCAATTTTACAGCTCTAATTGTGGAAATCCTTTTCCACAATTAAAGTTTGTGCATTAATACGTGTCTAGCATATGGATTTCGTATCAGAAACGAGAAAAATTGTTTAAATTTAGATCTTTTTTGATACTTTAAAATGGTTTTCAAAGTTGTCAAGTTGCGTCAATATTTACTTTATATAAAAATTTTGCAGTCTGTATCTACAAAACTAATATTGCTAGACTAGAAGATTACATAGAAGAAACAACATTAAGTTTTAAAATTAAGCTAGATACCTAATGTAATGCAAAAAAGCAATATAAAAATTTGTTCATATATGTATCATGTGTATACAAAAATAGTATGTATGAGTATATATATATATATGTATACATAAATGTATTTATGTAATGTAATGTATTTATGTAAATGTATTTATGTTTAGATGTGCATATGTGTAAACATTTTCGTCGGAGTTCGCTCGTCAGTCCAGGATCTCCTTAAGTGTCATTGGATAAAAATTTTACACCCCCTCTCCCTCCTAGTAAATTTTGTCCACGTGTATCACAATTTTCTTTGATTAGTGAATGTCTTTCATCGAGGGTTGTTCTCAAAATCAAGAATGATGATGATATCATATTCGCGTATCGCATGTGCTCGTGAAAGAGTTTAAGATGTGAGACATGAGAAACATAACGTCTCTTCTTCAAAAAGAATCTTCAATTATCAGCAGTATATAAACTCGAAGATTGCTAATAAATTTTTAGTCATTCTTTTTTTATTACGATAATTAATTTTATTACGAACAAAATAATTTTTTTACCACAAAAATTTTACTACTTTTATTTGTAGCCTGCAAAAAGTTTGTTGTCTTGCAATTCTAAAGTCGCATATTTTATTGGCTTGAATGACTGTTTTTCAGATTAGCGTCTTTGCTGAATATTTAGGATATTTAACTGGATATTTGACGAGGTAAATCGTTATTCCAACTATCCGGACTAAGGGATAAGAACCGTGAGGGGAACGTTTCGAAGCCTTAGATGGGATAGCGAAACCCGAAGAAGATTAGAAGTAGTACATGAATCCAGTTTATTGAGAAACAAACAGAAGAATGATAAGCTCTCGTAGCGATATTGATCTCGTAGACATTTCACGTAGATCTAGTTTAACAAGCGACAGTAAATAACATTTTGTGAGCAGAAACTACATTTATTATACGATTTGCTTATATTATCAAATTTCTCTTTTGCTTCCTACAAACACAGGAAATGTAATTCAAATCAATTCCATCGCGTGTGTAAAATTAATGATCTAGCCAAGAAAGAAAGAGGACAAAGAATCCGCGAATATATTTATATTCGTTATTATCCGAGGGAAAACGGGAAATGGAATTTTATTTTGATTCTAAATATTATCAAAGCGATCGTCTCTTGATTTTTTTAAATTAATAATAGTCTAAGAAAATGATCCGAGAGCGCAGACTTGCGCTCATTCAGTTTATGCGACCGGATGTCCCATATATTACTTTTATCTCGTGTACGATGAAACAAGAGCCGTGAGCCATTCGCGTGCACTCGTTCCCGATTTTTTGCAGATCGTAACCAACCTGGTTTCTTGTCAAGTACGACGTTCGCTGGCGTAACGGCGTTATATGATGCGACTTCCGGCAGCGGGTTCACCGTTTTTGGGTCAACTTCCGCTTCGGCAGCGTTACACGCCGTCACCGTTTTCGACTTCTTCTTCCTATGCTCCTTATCCTTCTTCTTGCTAATCGGCTGTGGTAACGCCTCATTGCTACGTATAATGCATAAAAAATAGTAAGACAGACATTGCATAATTTTTTTGTCACATTATCTTCACAATTTATCATTAAATTAATTCAAAACGTTGTTTTCAAAATTTTTGTCTAGCAAAATGTCAATGACGATTCATTTTGGAGCAACCTCTGCAACAATTTTTTTCGCGAATTGTTCTCCAAAACGCAAGTCAAAATTATCAGTTGTCATTAAATTTATGTAAAATAAATCTGTGAATATATAATTAATTTAAATAAAATTAAATATTATATCGAAAGATGAGCTTTATATTGTTTAAATTTCACTTCCGCGAATTTTTTTTTGTATTTGATAACGAAATTTTCAAATGTGGAATAATCGTCCATTTTTTTTAGATAGATAATATGATATTTTTACATTTAATAACAATGTAATATATTTAATAATTTATAATTAGTATATTATAGATTTAGAGATCGATAATAATCAATTGATAATCAAGGGTCATTCGATTGTCGCATTTGCTATTCTGCTATGTTCGATCGCATATGTAGCTTTGAATATTCTCGTGTCATGCCATGTGACAAGCCATGTGACAAGCGAGTGTCAACGTGAACACTGTTAAGCTGATAAGCGAACGAATGCTCACGCGCATCTAAAAATAAATACTAAAAGAAATATTCCACTGAAAGAGCGCGCAAACGTTGATTCTGATCCTCAAGAAACATTGAGGAATTCTTTTTCGATATAATCTGTCACGTGTCCTTGCGGAATTGCAACATCCAAATAACATCATCATGTCAACAAGTAATCATAATAACAGATTAGAAAGAGTTACAGTAGCATTTTCAGCATCTGAGTGTAATCATACAGAACAATATTATTTAACAAATGTGTTCTGTATTCGATAACAGTAAGTAAAAAAGTCATTTATTTATAAGAATTTGACGTAACTCTTTGCATTCTCACGCTAGTCAATTGTAGTCTATATAGATAATAACTTTCTCTCCGAGAAAGCTCTTTCAAGAGAGTACTAATATAACAAATCTGTAAAACGTGACTGTTACGCGTTACACAAGTGAGAGAAAGTTTACATTCACCGATTCATCAATTGTCTCGCAACTGCAAGCGGAAGTCTTCCTGATAGCACGTTTTATGAACTTTCTTGTGCATAAATAGAAAAGGACTGAGATAGATTTTGATGGAAACTGTGATTAATTTAATTGGCGATTAAATTCAAGCGGTAAAATTACTTACAGCAAAAGAATCCTGCGAATCATATGAAAAAAATTGGATTCTAGTCCTTTGCATTTTTCTTTTCATGTTTTTCCGCTGGTGTTTGGAGTAAACAAAAATTAATCCTATCCGTATGAGACGATATATTACATTACAATTTGATTGTTAATAAAATTAATTACAGTTGTCTAGAATCGTTCCAAAGATTTAATATATAATAATTATATAAGCAAATATATTATATATAAATAAATATGTTTTATATATATATATATATAGAGTATAAAATTGTTATTAGAATTATGTTAGAATATATATTATATATAAATAAAACTATTGAGTAGATCACAATATTAAAAATAATATGAAAAATAAAAAATAAAATTTGTACTCTTAGAAACTTAAATAGAATTTGTACTCTTAGAAACTTCAAAAATTCGACAGTACATATATTAATAGCAATACTAGTAGGAAATTCAAACATTATGTTATATGAATTGCAAAAAACTATCAGGAAATAATTTCTCGAAAATTGCTAAAAGATAATCCAATAATTTCCAAAGGGAAGGGAAAATTGTTAGTAGTTAATAGAATCGAGAAATCGCTTATATAGTATATAACATTATATAACGCTAACCCGTATTTTATAGAAGCATTTCCAATTTCCCTGATAAGATTTATATAACAATTTGCATAATAACGAGTACGGAATTTATCACTTCGCAAAACTGTCCTTCTAAGTGATTTTCACGTGGTATGTTTTACACGTCTTGACGACGTAACAATGTTGTTGTACATTCACAATATATGTACATTCTCTCGCTCGTAATCATCCCCGGACTTCGCCTGTCTTTCTTATCGCGTAAACGCAACCGTTGATTATCAACCCGAAACTGGACAATGAGAAACAGAAGTAGCTCAGAACAATGGATGCGCTTTGGATAGAGAAATGAATTATTTTGAACATGTTTCAATGTTAGTCGAACATTAGCTAATAATAAATCTAGTTATGA